CTGAACTGCTCAGCCCTGGGACAAACCCAGCCCTGCACCCCTGGGACCTCCCCAAAAAATGGGGACACCCTGGGGGTGACACAGGCACCCCCAGCCCTGGGCTGGGTTTCCCAGGCAGGGCCCAGCTCGGGGGTCCCTGCAGCCCCCGGGGCTCCGTGGCTTTCCCGGGGATAACAAGGCCTCTGTGTGCTCCCAGTTTTTGTTTGGGGCTGGAGCTGGCTCCGGAGGGAAGTGTTGTGTGAGGGTGTTGTGGAAAAGCCTTGGCTCCATCTGGGAGCTGTCAGGAAAAGGCTGAGCTCAATCACACGTTGTTATGAATAGCAGCATTTGAGCCTTTAAAACCTTCAGCTTTTTTTTTCCCTTCTCTTTTTATTTTTTTTCCTCCTTTTTTTAAAAATTTTTTTTTTCCCCTCCCCCAGGTAAATTCCAGCTGGGATCAACGCTCCCCAGGAATTCCCCCGGAGGAAGTTGGCTGTTCACCAGCTCATCTTGTAAAAAAAAATAATAACAATAATGGTAAAAAAAAAAAAGATTCATTATTCCTGTTGAGCTGAGATGAAACAATTCCCTGGAATTAACGAGGCTCCTTTTGGCCAGCCCGGGTTCTGCTCCAATGAAAGTTTTTATTGTTGCCCAGAAAAGCCAAAAAACCCCAAATTCCCCCAGGGGGTGAGGACGGGGCTGCACTTGGGGCTCTCCCAGGGCCCTCCAAGAGGTGCCCCCAAACCCAGAGTTCCCAAATCCTGGATGGCAATGCCAGGGAGAAACCAGGGATGCTCCGGGCTCAGCAGGGTGGGGGAGGCTCGTCCCACATCGGTGGGGGACAGAGGAGGGGGTTTAAGGCAAATCCAACCCCTGGAGCAGGGTGGGACAAGAGCCTGGAATGTCAGGGGACAGCCCTGGGGACAGCAGTGGCAGTGCCAGGGACAGGAATCCAGGGAAAAGGGGATTTCTGGTGGGTGGATCATGGAATCCTGGAACGGTCTGGGTGGGAAGGGACATGGAGGGACATCCAGGCCCATGGCAGGGACACCCCCCACTGTCCCAGGGGGCTCCAGCCTGGCCTTGGGCTCTTCCAGGGATCCAGGGGCAGCCACAGCTGCTCTGGGAATTCCATCCCAGCCCTCCCCACCCTCCCAGGGCACAATTCCTTCCCAAAATCCCATCCCTCCCTGCCCTCTGGGGTGGGGAGCCATTCCCCGTGTCCTGTCCCAAGTCCCCAGTGTCACCATCCCCTCCCTCCACGGGCACCCTGTGCCAGCCCCAGGACGGATTTTTCCAGCAGCGCCGGGATTTTTCCTGCCGGGCTGTTTCCCTTCCCGCCTGGGCTCTGCTTGCTGGTATTTTTATTTATATTTATTTTTATTTTTATTTTTCCGGGGCGGATTAAGCCGCTGGAGCTCTGACCCGTTCCTGCCGATATCCAGCGGGATCCCGGGAAGCCGCAGCTCCGGGAAGAGGAGCACGAGGAGCATCCCAGGCCCGGGGCGAGCCTTTGGAAGCGATGCCAGCCCCGGAGCGGCGAACAAAGCGCGGGCAGGGCCGCCCCCAGCGCGGGCACAGCGGCCCCGCACAATCGTTCATTATAACTCAATTACTGTAATTAAAGCTGCAGAGGCAGGGCCGCCGAAGGGAGCCGTGCCAGCAGAATTCACGCTCGGCGGCGGCAGCCAGCGACAGCGGCAGCTGGGGGTGTCCCCGAGCGCCGCCGCCATCTGTCCCCAAGCCGGGGGTGGCACCAGGGCAGCAGGGCTGGGGAGGGAGGGGAAGGGGTGGGGAGGGATGGGATGGGGATGGAAGGGATGGGAAAGGGTTGGGAAGGGGATGGGAAGGGATGGAATGGATGGGAAAGGGTTGGGAAGGGGATGGGAAGGGGATGGGAAGGGGATGGGAAGGGATGGAAGGGGATGGGAAAAAATGGGAAGGGATGGAAGGGGATGGGGAGGGGATAAGAAGGGATGGGGAGGGTTGGGAATGGGTTGGGAAGGGATGGAAAGGGATGGGAGGGATGGAAAGGAATGGAAAGGGGATGAGAAGGGATGGGGAGGGATGGGAAGGATGGAAAGGGGGATCCTGTCATCCCGGATTCCCCGGTGGGCAGATCGTGCGGATGTGTGCAGAGCTGGGTGTGTGCTCTGCTTTGTTGCTGGGGTGGGCGCAGCTCAGCGTGGCACAGGACACAGAACATGGCATGGGACATGGGACATGGAAGGTGGCACGGGACACAGAGCTTGGAATGGAGCACAGAACATGGCACGGGACATGGAAAGTGGCATGGTACATGGAACATGGAATGGCATGGGACACAGAACATGGCACAGGACACAGAACATGGCATGGTACATGAAACATGGAATGTGGCACGGGACACAGAACGTGGCACGGGACACAGAGCATGGCACATGGAACATGGAATGGCACGGGACACAGAGCATGGCACGGGACACAGAGCATGGCATGGGACATGGGACATGGAAGGTGGCATGGGACACAGAGCTTGGACTGGGGTGGGCGCAGCTCAGCGTGGCACAGGACACAGAACATGGCATGGGACATGGGACATGGAAGGTGGCACGGGACACAGAGCTTGGAATGGAGCACAGAACATGGCACGGGACGTGGAACGTGGCATGGTACATGGAACATGGAATGGCATGGGACACAGAACATGGCACAGGACACAGAACATGGCATGGGACATGGGACATGGAAGGTGGCACGGGACACAGAGCTTGGAATGGAGCACAGAACATGGCACGGGACATGGAAAGTGGCATGGTACATGGAACATGGAATGGCATGGGACACAGAACATGGCACGGGACACAGAGCATGGCACGGGACACAGAGCATGGCACGGCCCAGCACGGCTCTGCTGTCCCTGCCCCTTTCCCAGTGCTCTCCTTCAGGGACACAGCCCCAGCCTGGGAAAAGCAGTTTTGAGCCTCCAGGACCAAACCCCTGCCCGCCTCCTCGGGAGCCCTTCTGTGCAGGGATCCCACGCTCACACAAGGAAATCACCAACAAGAAGAGGGCAATGCCACCCAAAAATGCCGTGTGCCAGGTGCCACCTTCACATCCTCGGGATCCCGGGGAAGCCATTCCCATGTGGGTTTCTGGCCATTTCCAGCTCTGCCTTTCCTGCCAGCGTGGGCCAAGCCTGACCTGAGAGCACCTTTAAAAAGCCCTCATGGATTTATAATTGAAAATTCCAGCGTGGCAGAGGGGGTGGGAATAATTGAATTACAAAATCTGGGAGCTGACAGCACAAACGGGACTGGGAGAGCCCAAGAGCTCCTCCCCAGCACTGGGAAAAGCCGAGTCCACGCCGTGGAGTGCCGAGGGCAGCTGGGGAGGGAGGGGAACCCTTTCCCTGTGCTGGGCTGGAAACGCAGCCGGAGCCACTCGGGGGTCCCTTCCCCTGCCCTGCCCGGGCTCCCCCCATCTCCCAGCAAAGGATTCCTTGCCATTCCGACCTTTCAGTGGTCGCCCGTGCGAGCCCCTGGCACATCCAGCCTCCAGTGGGATGGAAATGCGCTCCCGAGCACTTCCCTGCCCCTGATCCCTGCCCCTGATCCTCTCTTTTTGGCCTGCCCTCCATCCCTCCATCCCTCCCCCGCAGCAGGTCCTGTCACCTCCGATCCATCACGGGACGCTCCAGCTGGCCCAGCTCATGGAAGGGCTTTGTCTCCAGCGGGGAGCGGGGCCGGCAGCTCGGGAATGCCGCTGGGAACGGCGCTGCTGCAATCCCGGGAACAGGATTCCCTGCTCCCAGCCCGCTCCCTGCATCCCAAAATCCTGGCAGGAGCAGAAGTGGCAGGGTGCTGGAAGGGAGGGAGGGGGTTTGGGATGCGCCGGGAGGAGCCCAGCCCTCGGCAGCACATCCCACGGGATGGGGGAGATGCTGAGGGCTGGGAATTTCTCCCATCGGTCCCGGGCTCCATCCAACCTCCAGCACCACCCCCAAACTCGGGGGTCCCTGTCAGGGCTCTCCGTGCCCCCCAACCCTCCCCTGTCCTGCCTTTCCCCCCACCTCCGTGAAATTCCATGGATCAGAGGGTTTAGAAACACTTTGCTTGCGGTTGAGCTTCAGTACATTGACTTTTTATTCTTTTTTTTTTTTTCTCTTTTTGGCCCTTTTTTACAAAAACCAGTGGTAGTTATTAACAGCTGTACAGATTCTGCTACATACTTTGGTGTGAAGTTGAGAGCCTGGCTCCGGGCGGCTCCGGAACACGCAATTCCTGCAATTCCTGCATTCCACTCCTGGCATTTCGGGGAGAAAAACCGAGCAGCTGAGCTGCAGCCCCCCGGGAGCCTGGGGGTGACCCCACTGCCAGGGGGGCCCTGGGGAGAGGGCAGAGCCCCCCAGCCCTGCCCAGCACAGCCCCATCCCTGCAGAGCGCGCTCCGGAGCCCACGGAGCTGGGAATGCCGTGCCCAGGGTCAGGGTGCAGAAAGGGGCACAGCTGCCCCCACAGATCCCAAAAACCGACCCCAAAACACCCCTGGGACAGCCCTGGACCCCTGCAAGGCTCCGCTGGCCCCAGGGCCAGTCGTAAATCTGAGCCAAACCACCCTAAAATGCCTTTCCCCAAAAGCAGCTTTAGAGAACTCTTCCTTCCTTGGGTCATCAGTGCCCCAGACTGATCCCACCTTCCCACGGAGCCACCCGGCCTGGAACATTCCCCCAGCTCAGCTCAGAACCCTCCATTTGGATGGGAACACCAGGAGAGCTCTCCTCCTTCCCAGCCCCTCCGTCTGCCCCGGGAGCAGCCCGAGGGATGGGATGGGATGGGATGGAGGCCCCTGGGAGGGCTGCAATTCCAGGTCCCACCTCTCCATCCTCCTCTCCTCTCCCCCCTCTCCAAACCCTTCTCCCCTCAACCCTAAACATTTTATTTTTTTTCCTTTTGGACCAGATCCAACTCGCCAAAAATAATCCATAAAAATGCGGTATAAAAATCCTCTGCCGTGTGCTACGATACAGGTGAGCACTTCTGCTACACAAATACTTTTATTTTCCCGTTAGGTCTTCGTTTTTTTTTTTTTTTTTTGTCCTTTTTTTGTCCTTTTCGGAACCCTTTAGTACAAAAGGCCTGTGGGGGGAGGGAGTTGCTCCATAAAACCAGAAGACACAAGACCATAAAGCCCACAAGGACCACAAACAGCCCCCCACCACACACAAACCCTACTTGTTAGTAAACTTTTCGCTTTTAAAAAAAACTGTATTTTTTTTTTTTGTCTTTTTTTTTTTTTCAAGGTTATCAATTCTAATTCTTTACTTTCATTTGAATACAAAACACATAAGTTTGCTATTATCTTTCGTGGCTCCCTGAGCTGAATTTTCTAAGCTTTCTTTGAAATCACTCCTCATTTGCTTCTGTCCGAAGACCAAGAAGGGCTTGCGTGGGCTTCCCCTTTTCTTCAAACATCCAAGCACGGAAAAAAAAAAAATAAGGGTAAATCCATAAATCCATCTATAAAAAACAAACCCCAAGGTGATTGTGTTGATGTCCCGTCAGTAGCTGAGGATCCGAGCGATTCCCCACCATCACTAACACACGACGCACGACAGGAGGAACAACTTTTCACCAGTGGACATCTCTGCTCAGCCTGGATGGCAAAGTCCCCACGGACGCTTCCGGAGGGGGGAAGGAAAAGGGGGAAAAAAACCCCAAAAAACAAAAAAAAAAAACAAAAAAAAAAACCAACCAAAAAAAACCCCCAGAATAAAATTGCCACCACCAAAACCATCAGTGGAATACAATTACAGCAGACAAAAATACACAACTAAGTGTACTGGGAGGGTCCCCCCTTCCCACGCTATTTCCTAGTCCAGTATTTACATTTTTCACAAGTCTTATGCGGGATGCACAAAAAAAAAAGTCCCAATAAAAAAGGAGTCCTTTATAGTGCCACCAAAGCCAGACGGAAAGAACCAGAAAACAAAACAACAAAAAAAAAAAAAATCAAAAGGAACCCCAAAACCTTAAAACCAAATAAAAATCCGTTTAGGGCTTCCATGTGTGCCAGAGTTGCAGATCTCCAAATAAATCCGAGTGTGGCGGTGCCGGGCGGAGCTGGGCCGGGCCCGGGGCCTCCCCTCGGCATTCCCGGAGCATTCCCGAGTGCTGGAAATCCCAGGCTCAGTAGATGACCTCGTAGACCGTGGCCTTCTTGTCCCCAGAGCCCGTGACGATGTACTTGTCATCCGCAGAGATGTCACAGCTCAGCACGGACGAGGATTCCTTGGACTGGGAAAAGCGGGAGGGGAGAGAACACATCAGGGTGGGAGGGAGAGAGAGAGAACCCAGCAGGGTGGGAAACAACCCATCAGGGTGGGAGAAAGTGAGAACCCAGCAGGGTAGGAGAGAGAGAACCCAGCAGGGTGGGGGAGAGAGAACCCAGCAGGGTGGGAGGGAGAGAACCCAGCAGGGTGGGAAACAACCCCATCAGGGTGGGGGAGAGAGAGAGAGAACCCATCAGGATGGGAGAGAGAGAGAGAGAACCCAGCAGGGTGGGAGAGACAGAACCCATCAGGGTGGGAGAGAGAGAGAGAGAACCCAGCAGGTGGGAGGGAGAAAGACAGAACCCATCAGGGTGGAAGAGAGAGAGAGAGAACCCATCAGGGTGGGAGAGAGAGAACCCAGCAGGTGGGAGGGAGAAAGACAGAACCCATCAGGGTGGCAGAGAGAGAGAGAGAACCCATCAGGGTGGGAGAGAGAGAACCCAGCAGGTGGGAGGGAGACAGAACCCATCAGGGTGGGATTCCAGGATCTCCCAGCAGCATCCATGCTGGGGGCAGCACCACATCCCGCACCTGACACCCATCCGGCCGCCCCAAAGGATCTCCCCTCTCTCCAGGATAATTGGGAATGGGAATCTGGGAGCAGCCCCCACCCCGTGCCTTTCCCAAGCTCTCCTACCTGGAAGATGCTGGCTCCGTAGGGCGTCCTCCAGGCGTTGAGCAGGTTGTCCTTCCCAGTGCTCACAAACCACTTCCCTGCGTTGGGAATTTGGGATCAGCAGCCGAACCCTGCTGGTGCCACCTCCCCAACCCTTCCCTGTCCCCACCGTCTGTCTGAGCCCAGAGATTTGGGACAAATGGCAAAACCTGGAGGGTCCCTGGGGAGTCCTGCCCAGCCCCACTCTGCTGGGACAATCCCAGTGCTGCTTCCCACTTCCAGTGGTGCTCCATGGCTGATTGCAGCCACAGCTGGGATGGGGTTATGGGAATAAACCATGCCAAAATCAGCATGGGGGTATGGGAATAAACCCTGCCAAAACCAGGATGGGGGTATGGGAATAACCCAGGGAATAAACCCTGGCAAAACCAGGATGGGTTTATGGGAATAAACTCTGGCAAAACCAGAATGGGCTTATGGGAATAACCCAGGGAATAAACCCTGCCAAAACCAGGATGGTCTCATGGGGATAACCACAGCCACAGCCAGGATGGTTTTATGGAGATAAACCCCACCACAACCAGGATGGGTTTATGGGAATAAACCCCAAGTGCAGCATCCATGGGATGGATCCTGCTGGAACATCCGTGCTCAGCCCTCCTTGCTGCGCTGAGCACCATCCCTTCCTGCGGTTCATGGACATCCCTGTTTCCCAACCCCTGGAAGTGCCCACGGCCAGGCTGGATGGGGCTTGGAGCACCCTGGGATAGAGGGAGGTGTCCCAGTTTAAGGTTCCTTCCATGCCATCCCATTCTCCAGGATCCATCCCTGCCCTGCTGCGGGCTCACCGCAGTAGGCGAACTTGAGGGAGAGGACGCAGCTCTCGTGCAGGTGCAGCTGGTACTTGTCGGGCTTGGTGTGGTGCAGCACCTCCACGTTGCTGCTCTCCATGCCCACCGCCAGCCACTCGCCCGTCGGGCAGTACCCCAGAGAGAAGATCTGCAGATAGGAGCGGGATAAGCGGAGATCAGCGGGAATTCCCAGCCCTCCACGGAAGGGTGGGATGGGAGATCCTCAAGGTGACTCTCCCAACACAGCTGCTCTGGGATGTGTGGCACTGCTGGAGCTGCTGGCCAGCCGCAGATGGGTGGAGCAGGCGGGGAGAGGCAGATCCCTGCGATGGGATGGCTCCATCCCTGTGTGTCCCTTGCCAATGGGACACAAGGTTCCAGCTCTGCCCCTCTGGATCAGGGCTCTGGCAGCCTCTGCTGGAGGAGGCAGGATCCTGATCCCTGACCCCTGCTCTCATCCCACCCCCAGGGCACCCAGAGATCCCTGTTACATCCACAGGCATCCCATGAAAAGAGCTGCTTCCTCAACAGCAGCCTCATCCTGCAAGGATGGAAAAGAGGAGCTGGCACAAGATCCAGGGAGCCCCATGGCTCCAGCATTCCCGGGCCACCCCGAAACCAGCGGGAACAGCCACGCTCGGAGCTCCCAGGGGGTTTTCCCAGCAGGAAAAGCCCCTCCAAGGGCCAGGGGCCGAGCAGGACCCCCTGTTTTCCGTGGGGATGGATCCCTGAGGCTGTGGCCCCGTTCCCTGGCCCTACCTGGGAGGTGAAGTCGTGCTGCTGCAGCTGCCGCCCTTCCCGCAGGTCCCAGGAGCGCACCGTGTTGTCCAGGCCCCCCGTCCACAGCTTCGTACCGTCGTGGGAGATGTCTATGCAGCTGGCCCCGTCCGTGTGCCCTTGGAATTGCCTTGGGAGCAGAAAAAATGATGGAGTTCTGCAAGGAGAGCGCTAGAAAAAGCACGGAGCTGCGTTCAAGGTGCTCAGATGATGTTTGTGTGGCTCGTCCACACACCAAATATTCCTGGAAATCCATCCAGGAGCATCCTGGGCTGAGGAGCACCAGCCTGGCCAAGGATGGGGCTGGCTTAGGGATGAGCACCAAGAGATGGTGAAGCATCACCAGAGGGTGTTCCAGGTTCCAGCCCCGAGGGGATGGGGGACTCCCCATCCCTGGAATGTTTAAGGCCAGGATGGAAGGCTTGGAGCAACCTGGGATAGTGGAAGGTGGTTTTGCCATGGAAAAGAGGAAAGGGACATCAATGGGACAAAGAGGAAAGGGACCATGATGGGGAGAAGAGGAAAAGGGACCATGATGGGCAGAAGAGGAAAGAAACAGCAATGAGGTGGGGAAAGAGGAAAAGAGAGATTGATGGCAAGAAGAGGAAAGGGATGTTGACAAAAGAAGAGGAAGAGGGACATTGACAAAAGGAAAAGGAAAACTGATAAAAGAAAAGAGACATTGATGGAAGGAAGAGGAAGTGGGACATTGACAAAAGAAGAGCAAAAGGGACACCGACAAAAGGAAAAGGAACACTGCCAAAAGGAAAAGGGACACTGCCAAAAGGAAAAGGGACACTGCCAAAAGGAAAAGGGACACTGCCAAAAGGAAAAGGGACACTGCCAAAAGGAAAAGGGACACAGCCAAAAGGAAAAGGAACACTGACAAAAGGAAGAGGACCACGGCCAAAAGGAAAAGGGACACTGGCAAAAGGAAAAGGAACACTGCCAAAAGGAAAAGGAAAAGGGATGTTGTGGGGGAAGAGGAAAAGGAACACAGACAGGAGAAGACGAAAAGGAACGTGACGGGACAAAAACAACCTCAAGGTCCTTCCCACCCCACCCCACCGCAGGACCCCTGGGCAGCAGGAGCCCGGCGGGGGCTCACCTGACGAGGGTCTGGTTGTGCAGGTCCCAGACGGCGATGTTGCCGTCGCTGCAGCACGAGAAGCACACCTTGGCGTCGGGGCTGATGGCCAGCGCGTAGCACGCGGGCGCCGACGACGTCAGCTCGGCCTTGATGCGCGGCGTGGGCGACGCCAGGTCCCAGATGGTCAGAGTGCTGGCCTCGCCCCCCACGATCAGCGTGCGCCCGTCCGGCAGCAGCTTGCAGGAGCGGATGTAGTTATCCCTGTTCTGGGGACACAAGGGACCGTGAGGGACGGCCTGGGGACGGGGGAGACGGTGATGGAAGGGGAAGGGGGCGGAGAGGAAACGGGATGTGGAGGGGGAAGAGGAAGGGAGTGCAACGGGGTGGGAAAAGAGGAAAAAGGATGTTGATGGGGAAAGAGGAAAAGGGACGTTGATGGGGAAAGAGGAAAAGGGACGCTGATCGGGAAAAGAGGAAAAGGGACGTTGATGGGGAAAGAGGAAAAGGGACGTTGATGGGGAAAGAGGAAAAGGGACGTTGATCGGGAGAAGAGGAAAAGGGATGCTGATTGGGGAAAGAGGAACAGGGACGTTGATGTGGAAAGAAGAAAAGGGACGTTGATGTGGAAAGAAGAAAAGGGACGTTGATGGTGAAAGACAAAAAGGGACCTTGATGGGGAGAAGAGAGGTAACGGGAAGAGGAATAAGACAGTAACAGAAGACAAAGAGTTGGTAACAGGGAAGAGCAGCAGGATGTTAAGGGGGGAAGAGGAAAGGGAGGACAGAGGGGGAAAGAGGAAACATAAATGACACCGTGGGGAACAGAGGTTGATGTTAACAGGGAGAAGATGATTAACAACACGGGAGGCGGGTGAAGGCAGGGGACACAGCCCTGGGGACAGCAGCAGCCCCACCACGGGGACGCCAGCCGCGCCAGCTGCTTTAGTGGCAGAGACCCCAGTCTCTGCTTTAGTGGCAGAGACCCCAGTCTCTGCTTTAGTGGCAGCGTTTGACTCCTTGCTCTGCCTTAAAACAGTTTAGTGAGAGGAATGGGAAGGGGGTTGAGGAATGGGATAAAGGGCCAAGGAAGAGGAAGGAAAAACCCCAATCCAGTGGCACATGCACGTCACCCCACCTCCATCCCCAGCCCTTCAATCCAAAGCACAGCTGGCTTTGAGAAGCAGCCCCAACCTCCCAGCCCTCCCCCCAGCGAGAAAGGAGCTAAAAGTGCTACGTACAGCTCCAAAGCTCACCATTGGTGACCGGCCGTAGGCGGCGGCGGCGGCGGCGGCCGCGCTCATCTGCGGGGGGAGGTTGTGCAGCCCCGCGTAGGCGCCGGGGCTCGTCAGGGACCCGTTCATCTCGTGGTGCCCCATCATGGCAAAGGGCGCCGCGTAGGAGCCCGCGATGGAGATGGGCGTCCGCAGGGCCGAGGCTGCGGGAGGGGGACACGGTCAGGGTGGGGACACGGGCACGGCTGGGACACGGGCAGGGAGCTGGGGACACGGGCACGGAGCTGGGGACACGGGCACGGAGCTGGGGACACGGGCATGGAGCTGGGGACACGGGCACGGAGCTGGGGGGACACACGGGCACGGAGTGGAGCAGAGCACAGCCACAGAAAAACCCAACACCATGGAGTCCAACCCCACCTTCCTCCCAGCCCAGAGCACTGAGTGCCACATCCCTGGACACCTCCAGGGACGGGGTCTCCACCACCTCTCCCTGGGTACCGTTTTCACAAAGAAATTCCTCCTGATGTCCAACCTGAACTTCCTCTAGCACAGCTTGAGGCTGGCCCCTCATCACAACCCTGCTCACTCCACGACCAGCCCTCCCTCCTCACCCCATCATCTGTCCAGACCCAGATTAGGTCCCCCATAAACCTGACTCCCATAAATGCAATCCCCGCAGAGCTGCTGTTCCCCATTGTCAGGGACAAGCCGAAGTTGTGCTGGGGACAATGGTGACAACCAGTACCCACCCAGGGGGTCCATGCCGCTGGGTTTGCCGGGCATGGGCCGCAGCCCCGGGGTGCTGCTGGTGCCCGGGGTGGGAGCGTCGTTCCTGGGCGTCGGAGTGTTGGACTTGAGGCCGGGCGTGGAGGATTTGTCATTCTGGGGGGAGAAGGGATGGAGAACGAGGGATGAGCTCCAGCTGCTGGGAGCCACAGCCCCTGCCCCAGGGACCCCCAGGAGGGACGTACGTGGCCCAGGTCCTTGGTCTTGGAGGAGGGAGTGCTGCTGGAGGAGGCCACCGAGGCCGGGCTGTTGGGAGCGTCCCCCTTCTTCAGCCCGCGGGCTTTGTCCAGGCCGTTCTCCGGGGGGGAATGGGCCGGGCTCACCCGGGGGGTGGCGGGGTCCTGTGAGGTGGGAAAAGCCTTGGAATTCCCACAGTGGGAAGGAGGGGCTCCCTCCGGCTTCCCCTTCAGGCCGGTGTTGGGAGGTTCCTAAGGAATCAGCTCCCACATCCCAAAGCCAGAGCTCACCTCGTTGGAGACATCGACCACCAGGTCATCGCTCTTGTCACCATCGCTGTCCTGGAACACAAAGCGTGTCACACCCCGCAGAGAGCTCCAGAAACTGGGGGAACCAGCCCCCCAAGGAGCCAAACCACCCCCAACAACAGCAGGACACCCGGGCTGGAGATCAGGGGATATTTTTTCATGGAAAAGGTGGTCAGGTGTTGGAAGGGGCTGCCAGGGCAGGGGTGCCTTCAGCCAGGGGAGTGGTTGTGGCACTTGGGGACACAGATTATGGTGGCCTTGGCAGTGCTGGGGGATGGCTGGACACCATGGCCTCCGAGGCCTTTTCCAGCCTGAACGACCCCATGGTTCTCTGCCCCAGCTGACCCACATCAGAGCTGGAAAGCAGCACCCCAACCCCGCTTGCTGCCCCCAGGTGCTGCCCAGGTGTCCCCGTGGCCTGCAGGGCTGTCACTGTCACTCACATATCGGCTCATGCTGTCCTTCTCCTCCGCTTTCCGCTTCTTGGAGTCGATGCTGTAGTCCGTGGAGCTCCGGTGCTTCTCGCTGGCCCGCAGGCTCTCCGAGGGGGACACGGAATTATTCTGTGGGGATGGGAGAAGCTTTGAAGGGGGAACAGAAGGAAACAAGGCTACACAAACAGCAGGCCCCAGGGGACACACACAGCCCTGTCCCAGCAGCGATGAGACCCCCTGGTTGCCCCCATGCCACGGGATCCAGGGGACAGATCCAGCATCAGCCTCGCTGGGAGCACTGGGAATGCTGTGAGGATGCCCATGGACACCTGAGCTGCTTTGCTGCAATAGCAGGAAAAAGCAGGAGGAGGTTGTTTATAAAAACATCTGGGAAAAGCCACATGGCCAGGAATGGCAGAACCCAGCTCTGGAATGGCACAGCTCTGCTCCTTGGGAATTCTGTCCTTGACTCAAGCAGCAAAGCCCAGGACATGCTGGCATTCCCAGGAAAGCTCCAGAGCCCGGAGTTCTCCCTCTGGCAGAGCTGGGAGCCTCAGCCAGAAGGAGCAAAGGAACGGCTGCATCCCAGCTCTGGTACCAAAGGACATCCACAAAATGTTCTGGAAAACCCACGTGACCAGGAGTGCCATGGCACAGGGGGAATTCTGCCCTTGCTCCAAGCAGCAAAGCCCAGGAGATGTTGGCATTCCCAGGGAAGGCTGGAGGCAAACACGGCAGCACAAGAGGAGAATGCCTGGCCCTGATCCTGCATTCCCTCCCCTCAGTCCCTGGGATCAGCAGGATCCATCCCCATTCTCTCTCTGCACATTCGCACCCCAGTCCCTGGGATCAGCAGGATCAACCTCCATTCTCTCCCCTCAGTCCCTGGGATCAGCAGGATCCATCCCCATTCTCTCCCTGCACATTCCCTCCCCAGTCCCTGGGATCAGCAGGATCCATCCCTGTTCTCTCCCTGCACATTCCCTCCCCAGTCCCTGGGATCAGCAGGATCCATCCCTGCCCTCTCCCATCAGTCCCTGGGATCAGCAGGATCCATCCCGGTTCTCTCCCTGCACATTCCCTCCCAGTCCCTGGGATCAGCAGGATCCATCTCTGTTCTCTCCCTGCACATTGCCTCCCCAGTCCCTGGGATCAGCAGGATCCATCCCTGCTCTCTCCCCAGCCTGCCAGCCCCGCCGTTCCTGAGCCGTGCCCGCCTTTCTTCCCCGGCTGAAAGGGAGAACCAAAGCAGTTCATGTTTCTCCTCGGTCCCCACTAAGCAGCTTTGGATAACACGGAGCTCTTTCTTCCCAGGCAGTCATGCTGAAAACCCTCCCAGCTCCCAGAGAATCATGTCAGGCATTTAGAGGCATCGATCCATTCAGCCCCGCTCCTGGCCCGCCGCCAAGGAACTAAATATTTTTTATTGCACAGGCAAAGGCTGGGGAAAATATGAATGACTAACGCTGATTATCGCACACATTAAACCTCCACGGGGAATACCCCGGCTCGCAGTTTATGGATTGGGAAGCTGCCCGGCTCCGACGGCCCCCTGCCCGCCCGAGGAGCGGGTTAATGATGCCCAATTCCCCTCTGCCTCTCCCCCCTCGCAGAGCACTTCCCTTCCTTCCCTTCCCCGCTCTCCAAAGGGCCGTTTGTGGGCTCGGGGCTGGCAGGAAATCGCTGCCAAGCCGCAGCTCAGCCGGGCTTTGTCCTGGCAGCTTTTCACACGGAATGCTGGGCTGGGGAACGAGCTCCGGCATCACCGAGCCCGACCTGGAGCCAGCCCCACCCTGTCACCAGCGCAGGGAGCTCAGGGACACGTCCAGGCCCTGCCTGGACACCTGCAGTGCCTCCCTGCGCTGCCCCTTCCGACGTTTCACGGCCCTTTCCATGGAGGAATTCCTCCTGATGTCCCATTTTCCCTGAGCACTGGGGTGGGAGGTGCTGGCTCAGCCCCATTCCATGAGCAGGGCAGCCCCCACCTGGCTCCTGCCACCCTCCACATCCTCTCCATCCCAGCTCCCAGGGAATCCATCCCAAGGGCAGCCTCCGAGGTGTCTCCAAAATCCAGGGATTTCCCTGGTTAGGAGCTGCTCAAGCTTCCAAGTCCTGCATAATACGGAGAAATAACCAACCCCATCCCAGATTAGGTGGCCCCAGAAATTGGGGGAGTGATCAGGAAGGAACCAGCTTCCCTGAGCACCCAGGGGTTCTGGTCTGACCACGCTCACTCAGCCAAAATGATGGAATTTCCTGACGTTCTGCCACAAGCAGAGGAATTTAAATCACATTTCCAAACCGCCACCACGGAGAAGGTGACTCCGCTCATCCCAGCACAGCCCTTCCAGGCAGGATGAGGGATTTTACTGCCTGGTTTATTATTTAACACGAGCTGTGCCAAAGGCAGCCCTGCAGCTCCCAGCCACCAGGTGGGTTTTTAAGGGATAAATCAAACTCAGCCGTGCAGCCACCAGCCAGTGGGAGCAAAAGGAAGGAATGGCACTTACTGCACTTGAGTCTCGCTCTTCAGGAGATGCCAGGGCAGAGGGGAGGGCACAGCCAAAACAGAGACAGGAAAATAAAGTTAGGATAAGTCTTAAACCAGAAAAATAAAACCAGAACCTCCTCGTGCTCTTAACTCAAGCCCTGTCAGGGCTCTCTCCAGCTTTAGAATCTCCCTCCATCCATCTCTCCCATCCAATTCCTGCCCCTTTTTGTCTGCGTGATTTATCTGGCCAAACACAGCTGGACATGCCCTGGATCCAAAGGGAATGGCAGCAGCCCCAGGTGTCTGTCCCTGGAGTCACCCCACGGCCCTGGGGGCACAGCTCCACACCCAGGAGGTGGCTCAGCCCTTCCTCTGTACCCAAATTGTGCATTTTCCCTGGAATCTCTGGCAATCTGAATCCATGCAGGAAAAGGAATGGAACAGGAGCATGGCTGCCAATGGTTTTGTCTCACCGCTTTTTTTCCCACCCCAAATCCCCCAGCAGAGCCCAACAGCTCAGGGAGGCTGTGGGAACCTGCCCTGCCAATGGGAGAGTGGAAATATCCCAAATCCTCCTGTACTGGTGGACAGGGGGATCTGCCAGGACAATGCTGAACACCACTGGTTTGCAGCTGGATCCACAGACCCTTCCATCTGCTAACAAATGGTCAGATCCCACATAATGGGGAAAAACACCAAGCTCCTGCTGCACAGAGCTGGATCCCTGACCACGGCAAGGCTCTGGTGGTGATGGAGAGGAGGAGGAAGAGGAGGAGGGTGAAGGCTGCTTTCCCATTAAGGCACAGCACAGGAACTGCAGCCAGGCTCCACCAAAGGCTGAGCATCATTTTAGGGAATTCTGCATCCCTGAAAGGGTAATCCCATGATCTGAATGCAGCTGACCTGAGGGATGGGGTGGTGGGAAATGAGCCATGACAGGACCAGGGAGCTCCCCCAACATCTGAGGGACCCGGAGCAACTCCTGAGGAGGCCACAGAGCTACTCCAAGGGCTGGAGCTGAGCTGGGAACGTTCCCCTGGAGAAGGGAAGGCTCCATGGAGAACTCAGAGCCCCTTGCAGGGCTAAAGGGGCTCCAAGAGAGCTGGAGAGGGACTTGGACATGGGACAGGACACAGGGAATGGCTTCATAGCGGAGAAGTGGAGATTCGGGTGGGATATTGGGAAGGAATTGCTCCCTGTGAAGGGGCACAGGGTGCCCAGAGCAGCCGGATCCCTGCAAGCGCCCAAATCCCGCCGGGATCCCCCCGGTGTCATTTTTAACCTTCCTCTTCCTTCCAACCAACCCACCCCGGGACTGAGGCCGCGGGATCAGCTGCCCCTCTCACCTCTGTGGTCCAGGTCGTGGTGGTTCTTCTCGTCCTTGACGGCCAGGTGAGCCTGGCTGCCCAGGGCGCCGAGGGCCAGCAGCCCCGAGCTGGTGCCGGTGACCGGCGGGATCCCGGGCGGCTGGAGCCCCGAGGGGTGCGGAGGCAGCTGCACCGGGGGGCCGTGGGCGGCGTGGGAGAGGTGCTGGGCCTGGAGCTGCTGCTGCTGCAACGAAAGCACCAGTGAGCCGGGAGGGAGCGGGGGACGGGGGACACCGAGGGACGGTCCCGGGAAGGGACGGTCCCGGTGGCGCTGGGAGAGGCCCCGCTGGATGCCTGGAAGGAGAAGCCCCGTTAGCAGGAGGGCTGAGGTGCCCAGGATGTCCCCAGGGATGTCCCCGGGGATGTCCCCAAGGACACAGCCCTCTCCCCACACATGGCTGCTCCCCAGGACAATCCTGCATTCCCGGAATTCTGAGGACATGGTTAGTTTGGCTTTTCCAGCAGTAAAAGGGGGGGAAAAAAAAACCAAACCAGGAATCCCACCCAGGAGGCAGAGAGACTCCATGGCTGGAGGGTAGCAGCTAAACCAGTCAGAGGGAGAAAATTCCAGCACCCAGGAGCCTCCCAGGCAGCTCAGCACAGGGAAGCTCTGCTCAATTGCTCAGGAGCAGCTTCCAGGTGCTTCATGGGGGGAGGAAAATTCCACACAATGGCCTGGTCCCATCAGGATCCTGCTGCTCCCAGCCCCTTCTGACAGGGGATAAATCCTGCAGGGATCCTCCATTCCCACCATGGGGTTGGACATAACCCCCCACATTCCCTGGAGCTGCAGCCCTGCCAGGATGGCACAGGCCCTCAGCTGCTCCCAGGGTTTTTTGGGATTGAATCCCAGCCATCCCATCCCAGCACTCCCCCAGCCATGGAGATTCACTGCCCGCCCCAGCTGAGCTGGAAAAAGCTGAACTGCAGCTCTGGGGAGAGAAGGGAAAACCAGACACACTCCCTGCTTCAAACACAACCCTGGAAGAAAACCAGCTGAAATGCAAGGAGCCACTCCCGAGAGCCCCCAGGCCTGCCCTGGTGCAGCCAGGAGGGTCTTGGAGCTGCTGCTGCTGCCCGGGACCCTCCTGCCTGCACCCACAGCCCCTCCAGCAGCATCCCAGCAGCTCCAGGGAAATCACATTTGGGCATCTGAACACAACAGGAATCACGGGCTGGGGACACCTGGAACGAGGGGACACCCAGAATGAGGGGACACCTGGAACGAGGGGACCCCCAGGCTGCAGCAGAGCCCCCCCAGCCCACTCCAGATCCCCACAACCAGCCTGGATCAGGATTTGTCCCAGGGCACTCTGAGGGGCAGGGGTGGACAGCAGGATGTGCTGGCACAAGGGCCAGCCCAGTGGACACCCCCAGGAACACACCAAAAACACCCCCGGGGATGGAGGACTCCCCAAAACACCCCTGGGGATGGAGGGCTCCCCAAACCAGCATCCCCGGGGATGGAGGGCTCCCCAAACCAGCATCCCCGGGGATGGAGGGCTCCCCAAAACACCATCCCCGGGGATGGAGGGCTCCCCAAAACACCATCCCCGGGGATGGAGGGCTCCCCAAAACAGCATCCCCGGGGATGGAGGGCTCCATTCATGCTCCCAACAGTTCCATCAAGGAAATTTCCAGCCCATCTTGGCCAGAGCTGCAGCAGGTGCACCCAGGTGCCCCTGGATCCCTGCAGTGCCCAAGGCCAGGCTGGATGAGGCTTGGAGCAGCCTGGCACAGTGGCAGTGTCCCTGCCATGGCAGGGGTGGCACTGGGTGGGATTTGAGGTCCTTCCAACCCAAGGCATTCCATGATTCCATGGTAAGTTTCCCCACACCAAGTCCAAGTTTTGGGGGAGCAGCTCTGGTCCATTCCCGATGGAAGGGCCCATTTTGGGCAGCAGGTGCTGATGTCCTGTCCCACTCCGTGGACACAGCAGGATGGAGCAGGCCCTGGCTGGGCCACCCACCCCTTCCAGAGCTGCCTTCTCATCCCTGTGGGATGGAGAGGGAAATCCCCATCCAGAAGAAGATTCCAGGTGGGAGCTGAGGGCAGAGGCCACAGCCCCAGGCGCAGGAGATCCACGGAAGCAGCTCTGACATCCCAGCTGCAGCAGCAGCCACACGGAGAAAGCCATCAGGCCTCTGCTGCAGGAAATCCATAAATCCCTGAGCCCTCCAAAAGCAGGAGCTGGCTCTGCCAGCAGGATGGGAAGCATCCTCAGGATGGACATTCCAGAGTGTCCCAAATCCAGGACACGGAGCAGAGCTGGGGGCGAGGGGCACAAGGTTGGTCCCTCAGCAGCTCCTCAGTGGCAGGATCAATCCTCTGGCACCAAAACAAATGGAACAAATCCTTGGGGCTCTTCCCAACCCCCATTTCACAGGATTGCCAGAGGCAGGGCTGGCCACTGTAGCAGAGAACGGCCCTGGGTGGTTTTCCAGCACCTCCAACCATTCCCACATTCCTCTCCTGGGAGCTCTCCATTGGTATTTCCATATTCCATCCCTGGAATCCACCAGCATCCAGCGGTTTATCCTCAGCAATCTCCAGCTTCCAGAAACATCTGCACGCTGTAGCTCATCCCAGCAGCTTTCCACCCACAAAAGGGACGTGGCCTCGTGGGACAGCAGCACTCCAACCCCCAGGGCGTGGATGGCAATTCCAACCCTGGAACAGCCCAGGGGACAGCACAGCCCCACCACGAGCCAGGCAGCAGCACCGTGGGGAGAAGAATCAGCACCTGGACTTGCTCCAGCAGAGAAGAAAAAACTGGGATTTCTTCCTGGTTTTCAGGCTGCCAACAGATAAATCCAGCCGGGGGCTCGGTGAGCTGCAGGAACAGCCCCTGCCAGGACGTGGAGGCAAGGTCAGCACACAGCATCCCTGGTGGCCCACAGCAACACCTCCACGCGGGTTTGGTTTTCTCCCCTCTGGCAGGGAAGAGCAGAATCCGTGTGGGATGTCCTGAAGCCTCGTCCCGGGGTAGCCAGGATGCCAGAGCAGGGCTGCAGAGCTCCATCCGTGTCCCAGGCAGGTCATTCCCGTGGCAAGGAGAGCAGGATGAGCCAAGGAGCCTGGGGCTCATCCCAGGGTGGTGCTGCAGCATTCCCAGGTTCCCAGTGCACCATCCTTCCCGCACATCCTTGGGAACAAGGTCCTGGAGACTGCGAGGAGGGGCACAAACCCCACCTGGCACTCGGTGGCACAGAGTGTCCCCTGCTGGAAAGGCCCCATCCCATCCCTTATCCCAAGCCTGGAAATGCTGTGTTCCAACAGCAACACTGGCCGAGGGCCTGCTGCAGCATTCCAGGGATGGGGAGGCTCTTTGGGAACCCCAAATCCCCCTGCCCAGGGACTGAGGTCCTGCTGGACAAGTGACACACACAGGACAAGGGTTTGGAGCAGCATTCCAGGATCGTGGAGTGCCTGAGCCCATCCACAACTCAGGATGCTGCACTGGGGCTCCAACTGAATTCCAGCATCACTTTGGGCTCCTCCTGTGCTGGGAGTGATGTCCCCAGTGTCCCAGGAAACAGGAGGCTGGGGAGGGATAACAATCCCAGACACGAATCCCTGCACAGCCAGCCCGGGGCAGCGCCCACGGAGCGCCCGGGATCCCTCAGCGGTGCCACACGGATTTGGGGACACGGGAAGAGGGTCCAGATTTGGGAGGAAGGCTGGCAAGGAGTGTCTGCTGGTGGAGTGGCTTTAATTGGATTATGTCCATCACGCTCCATGCCTTTGTTCCCGATTTAATGGTTCAGCACTTCAGTTCAGCGCCGGCGTTAAATTTAGTGACGGAGTTTAATCATTTCCAGGGCAATCATTTCCAGGGCCACAACCAAATCAAGGCTCCATTTCAGCCCAGCCTCGAGCGCAGGAGCTGAGAGACAATGGCCCAGATGCATAAAATTAACAGTTCTTGACCTCAAAAGGGGCAAAAAAAGAGCTTTGCACCGTTTGGGGGGGGGTTTGGGTGTTGCAGGATCTGCACCGGGGTGTTGGGGAAGGCTGGGGACAGTGGGGCCACCCAGGGCTGGAGCCCAGGGACACCAGGACACCCCAGTGCTGAGCAAACCAGCCCAGGGACGTGTCCATGTGGGCAGTCCTACAAAAACACCCTGCTGAGGGCAGGGCAAAACACCAAATCCTTTGTGTTTGGGGGCTCAGGGGCTGGAGCTGCCACCCAAACCAGCCCCATGCTCCAGGAGGAGCATGGAACCATCTCTAAAAAACCATGGGAGGCCATGGAATCACCATCCCCTCAAGCCATGGAATCACCATCTCCTCCTGCCAGCAACAGCCCCACACTAACAAACCACTCCATGCACAGAGGGGAGGAAGAAAAACCAAATCCTTTGGAATTTGTGTCTTTGTGGGCACCAGAGCAGGTGCAGGAGCACAAATCCTCCACCCCAACCAGCTCCAAGCTCTGGGATGAGCCTGGAACCATCTCTGAAAGCCACGGGAGGCCATGGAATCACCATCACCTCCTGCCAGCAGCAAGCCTACAGCAACCAACCACTCCCTGCACAGAGGGGAGGAAAAAAGGCAAAATCCTCTGGATCTTCTGCTCTGGGAAGCTCTGGAGCAGCTGCAGGAGCACGGACCCAGCACCCAAAGCAGCTCCAGGCCCCTGGACAAGCCATGGAAAGCCGTGGGATCACCGAGCAGCAGCGTGTCCCTCCCTGCTGGGCCAGCCCAGAGGAGATGCCCGTGATTCCTGCTGGGAGCTCCTCAGGGAGGCAATTAAAGGGCTGGGCTGGCTGTTAATGACAGCAGGGCCTCGCTGTGACCCAGGGAAGCAATTAGCCAGGGAATGGGGGTCACGGGCCTCCTCATCCACCTTAATTGAATTCCAGGATCTGCCACTTCCAGCGGCTCCTGCTCCATCCCCAGCCCACCCCAAACGGGTGAGGAGCAGCAGGAGGCTGCAGGGTCACCCCAAAACTCAGCTCCCATTCCTGGGGCACTTCCCAGGTGGCACCAGCCCCACCAAGAGGGATCCAGCTGCTTCCTCATTCCCAAAAACTGCAGGAGCCCAGAGCACGATTCCACAGTTGGTGACACCCATAAAAGGCAGGAAAATGGATGGAAGAGCAAGTTAGACACAGAAAATTATAAAGATCCTTGAAGCCTACGAAGTGTAAATAGTTATTAAAAAATAAAAATCATTATAAATGAGTCTTTTCACAAAGAAACAAAGCCAGAGGAGCTCTGGAGCCACCTGCCCAGGACGTGGGTTGGGAATTCCGATGTCCCAGGGTTTGCTGCAGGACCAAGGCAGTGACAGCAATTACAGAAAGGATTAGAATTGTTAATTTTCAATCAGAACCCTTCAATCTGTGTGGGAAAGGGTCAATGCATGGAACAACAACTCCTCAGAGGGCACAGCACATTCCACACCAACAGCCCGGCAGAGACAAGCCTGGCCTCAGGGGCTGGGGAGGCTCCCATCCCAAATCTCCCCAGAACATCCCACTGCAATCCTGGAGCTGCCAGGGGGGCAGCAGCTCCCAGCCCTGTCCTGCTGGGGTCAGATTGGGGCAGTTTTGGGGTTTTGGGACAGCCAGGAACTGTGGGATTGGGGCAGTTTTGGGACAGCCAGGAGCTGTGGGATTGGAGCAGTTTTGGGTTTTGGGACAGCCAGGAGCTGTGGGATTGAAACAGTTTTGGGGTTTTGGGACAGCCAGGAACTGTGGGATTGGGGCAGTTTTGGGGTTTTGGGACAGCCAGGAGCTGTGGGATTGGGGCAGTTTTGAGATTTTGGGATGGCTGGGGACTGGGAGCCACCCTGTGTGCCCTCCTGAGCGCAGGGTTGCCTCTGCATATGGTAAATGATAGGAATAAAAGGGGAATACACACGGTGAGAGGCAGATTGGGAAGTCCACGTACCCCGATGATAGCATTCAACTCCGTCATTGTCACTTGCTTGGCACGTTCAACAGCCTGGGCCACCTGCTGTTGGTGCTGTGGGGACACAGGGCCTGGGTCAGCCACAGCCCGCTGCAGAACCCCCCAGGCATGGTTTTCCCTGCTTTTGGACCCTACTTTGCCTGTTTTTCCCTATTTTTTTGCCCTATTTTGGGTGCACCAGCCCAGGGGGACCTCCCAGCTCCTCAGGGAAAAGGGGAAGCCCCTCGCAGCCTTCTGGGCTCAGTGCAGCCCCCCCAAGCTGAGCAGAGCCCCTGCAGGGCCCAGCTCTGCCCACCCCAAGGGTTCTCCAGCACTCAGGCAGGATTTAAATCCCATTTCTCACATGCAGCCCCCACCCAGGGACTCAGCACTGCCTGCCAGGGAGGGGAAACCCCCGGCAGAAGTCACACGCCCTCAAAAGAGGGCGTGGAAAAGTCCTTACCTCTTGTGACAGAAAAGGCATGATCTGGGCTAAAATCGTGTTCAGTCTTTTAGCAATTTCTGTCTGAAAAAAGGGAAGACGGAAAAGCAGCAGTCAGCACCCAGCAGCAGCCTCCCACGGGTGGCACCAGGCTTCCTGGCAGCAGCACTGTGTGCCCTTCCAGTCCCTTCCCAAAATCCCTTCCCTGCCCCCTGCCACAGATCCCTTCCCTGTCCCTTCCCAAAATCCCCTCCCTGTTCCCTCTCCCTGCCCCTTCCCAAAATCCCCTCTCTGTCCCCTCCCCCTGCCCCTTCCCCTTCCCAAAATCCCCTCCCTGTCCCCTCTCCCTGTCCCTTCCCAAAATCCCCTCCCTGTTCCCTCCCCTCTCCAGGGATGCTCCTGATGGGATGGCCACCTCCCCCTGCCCCTTCCCAAAAATCCCCTCTCTGACCCCTCTCCCTGTCCCTTCCCAAAATCCCCGCCCTGTCCCTTCCCAAAATCCCCTCTCTGACCCCTCTCCCTGTCCCCTCCCATGGAGGCAGCAGCTCCCAGCACAGGCACTGGGAGCCCCCTCAAGCTCTCCAGCCCAGAGACACTTCCCTGCTTCCCTGGGACACTTCCATCCCCTTCCCACCAGGGGATGAGTGTCCTGGAGCAGCCTGGCAGTGTCACACCAGCCTGGACTGTGCTCCAAGAAAACAGCCAGCTCATCCTGGGAGCAGCTGCTGCATCCCAGGAAATCCAGGGTTTGGTGGCCCCTCCATCTCCTCCCGCTCCCAAGGCTGCCGTGGGGGTTTGGTTTCTCCAAAGCACACTTGGCAAAGGCCACCTGCCCTGTGCAGGGAGATGAGTCCCCAGCAGGGCTGGGGCTCTGCTCTGCTCCCTGCCCACGGGTGGGATTCCCTTTGCCAGCCTCACATCCTGCTCTGGAGACAGCCTGGATGCACCAACACCTGCCAGCTGCACCCTGGGGGAGCTTTACTGGAGGAAAAACCCCAGTGGACACCCAGCCCTTGCTGGGCATGGTGGGACACTGCTCCTGCTACACAAACAAGCACCATCAACATTCCCAGCAGCACCAGGGAATGGAGACACTGGGAAAATCCTGATCTGCCCCAGCCTGGAGTCACCCCCATGGAGGGAACAGCCCCACAGACCCCAGAGCTCCGGGTCCTGCTCCAAGGGGTCCCCACAGAGCTCCCCATGGGCTGCAAAGCCACAGGAACATTCCTGGCCATCCTCTCCTCCAGAAGCACTCCTGGAGATCAGGTTACACCTGATGCTTTTCTTAGGAATTAGCTCTGTGGGAGCTTCCAGGGATGCTCATGGTGGGATGGCCATGTCCCACCCCAGGGATGCTCCTGGCGGGATGGCCACGTCCCACCCCCGGGATGCTCCTGGTGGGATGGCATTGTCCCTCTCCAGGGATGCTCCTGATGGGATGGCCACGGCCCATCCCAGGGATGCTCCTGGTGGGATGGCCATGTCCTGGCTCTCCAGGGATGCTCCTGATGGGATGGCCACGGCCCATCCCAGGGATGCTCCTGGTGGGATGGCCATGTCCTGGCTCTCCAGGGATGCTCCTGGTGGGATGGCCATGTCCCACCCCAGAGATGGCCGTGTCCCTCTCCAGGAATGCTCCTGGTGGAATGGCCATGTCCCACCTCAGGGATGTTCCTGGTGGGATGGCCATGTCCCACCCCAGAGATGCTCCTGGTGGGATGGCCATGTCCCACCCCAGGGATGCTCCTGGTGGGATGGCCATGTCCTGGCTCTCCAGGGATGCTCCTGGTGGGATGGCACTGTCCCTCTCCAGGGATGATCCTGGTGGGATGGCACTGTCCCTCTCCAGGGATGCTCCTGATGGGATGGCATTGTCCCTCTCCAGGGATGCTCCTGATGGGATGGCCACGTCCCATCCCAGGGATGCTCCTGGTGGGATGGCCATGTCCTGGCTCTCCAGGGATGCTCCTGGTGGGACAGCTGTGTCCCACCCCAGAGATGGCCGTGTGCCTCTCCAGGGATGCTCCCGGCAGGATGGCCGTGTCCTGGCTCCCAGGGGTTAACTCTGGCTGCTCCTGGCCGAGGCAGCTGTGAAAACAGCTCCAGCTCCAAGTCAAACACGGCCGAGCGGCCGCGAGGATCCAGCGCCACAACAATGGCCGGAGCCGAGCGCTGGCACGGAATCAAACGCCCCGAAATTCCTTCCGCCAGCCCCAGCAGCTCCTTATCAACAGCACAAGTGATTAACCGGGAGAGCTCCGGCCTCCTGCTGCCAAGGAGCCTCCTGCCTGGGACAGCCACAGCCAGCCCTGCTCCCACACCCCCCTGTGCTCCCCACAGCACCCCAAATCCACCCCGTGGCTCACCCTGCTGATCCCACAGCCCAGCTCCCCGGGACAGCTCCTACAGCACCCCTGGGTTTTAAGCCCAGCCAAAGCAAAGGAGCCCTCAGCTCCACCTGCTCTCAAGCACCCCGAGGAAAATCCCCAAATATCCTAATTTGGGGGAGAAATCCCAGTGGACACCCAGCCCTTGATGAGGATGGTGGGACACTCTGCTCCTGCTACACAAACAAGCACCATCAGCATTCCCAGCAGCACCAGGGAATGGAGACACTGGGAAAATCCTGATCTGCCCCAGCCTGGAGTCACCCCATGGAGGGAACAGCCCCACAGACCCCAGAGCTCCGGGTCCTGCTCCAAGGGGTCCCCACAGAGCTCCCCATGGGCTGCAAAGCCACAGGAACATTCCTGGCCATCCTCTCCTCCAGAAGCACTCCCGGTGATTGGGTTACACCTGATGCTTTTCTTAGCAATTCCAGAGGCAGGGAACGTGCTGGCACACCGTGCCAAGGCAGGGACGGCTGGAAGTGACCACGGCTTGGACTCAGGTACCCTGGCCACAGCCACCAAGTCACCGGGATCATCGTGGCCCTGAGCGTGAGGATGCACGGATCCAGCAGGCAGCCGGGGATCACGGAATCCTGGAACAGTTCGGTCAGAAGGGACTTCAAAGCTCATCCAGTTCCACTCCCTGCACCTTCTAGGAGCCCAGATTGCTCCAGCCTGGCTTTGGACACTTCCAGGAATGGGGCAGTCACAGGCACCAGTGTCCCAGCCCCCTTTCAGGGAAGGATTCCTTCCCAGTATCCTGCCTGTCCCAGCCCTCGGCAGTGGGAAGCCACTCCCTGTGTCCCATCACTGCAGGGACGCTTTGCTATGGTGACCTCTGTCCCCAGCACCAGGCTCTGGCCAGCACAGGGTTTTCAGCACCCAGCACTCCCACAAGAGCCGGGCTGGAAGCTCCAAGTGCCAAACCCAAGCCCAGCCCCGGCGCCGTGGCCGGAGCAGCCGGGCTGGCACCATGAGTGCCACCAGGCCCCGTGGTGCCACCGCCGTGCCCTGCCACGGGAAAAGCTCCTTCCAGGCTTTTTGGCACTGCACTTTGATCAGATTATATTTAGCTGCAGCTCCATTAAAGATTTGTTCCTCCAGCTCTGGCTGTTGGATGGGGATGCGGCCGCTGCTCCAGGAGCTCTGCCCTGGCAGCTCCTGGCTTCTAGAACAAATGTGATCCATGTTTGAGGGGACAGCACCAGCCAGCTTCCCTGGGCTGCACCCTGGAGAAACACAGCATCCAGCCAGGCTGATTCCATGGAGCAGCCAGGGAAGGAGCTGGGTTTTCCCCGGACAGCCCTGAGCAGCAGCACACGTGATGCTTCCACCTCTAAATGCAAAACTTCCAAGTGAGATGTGAAGCCAAGCTCCCCGTTCCACACAGAAAGAGACTTCCCACGTGGGATCCAGCGAGCACAGAGATATTGGATGTCCAAAATATTATGTTTACAACAGTGAGGTTTCCTGCGAACACGAGATTCAATAGTCTTTAAATATTTGCTCACTTTCCCTTTTCCCATTCCCTGGCACATTAAACTCCAGTTGTCCCCATTACAACTTTAACCGGGAGGGAAGGGGATTCTCTGGAATGCCAGGAACAGGGGAGGGCTCCATGCCCGACACCTTCCCCTTCACAGGGCTCATCCATCCCCTTGCCCAGAGCCCCTGAGCCCCACCTCGAGCTGCTCCTGCCAAGGAAAGCCTCCATTCCCACTGCAGGTTGCCATGGCAATCCCAGCTCCGCATCCCCTTCCGCTGCCCTGCATCTTCCCTGGACCAGGGCGGATCAAACACCCGCAGGGGGCACGGGCAGAGGCTCCCAAACACCCCGGGAGCCAATCCCGGGATCCTCCTGGCTGTTAAAAAGGGCAAGGAGTCGGGAGAAGCTGAAATCCCAACTAATCCCCCCTCGCTCTGTGCCCCTGCCAGGAATCTGCCCTGCTCCCTGCCCAGAGCCTCCCGGCGTGGGGTTTCAGCGAAACCAGAGAAAACATCTGCACCGGTGATAAATCAACACCGGCACCACTTGGCCCCGGCTGAGGCTCCTGTCACCTGCTCTTAAAATGGCCAGAGCCACCAGCAGCATCCGAAGCACTTGGGGACACAGGGAGCTGCTGCTGGGCTCGCAGAGGTGGCAGCTCGGTGTTAGAGAGCTGGGGCTGGCTGGGCCCTGCTCTCCCAGCCCTACACCTGGATGGGGCAGAGGGAATTTAAAAATAACCCCCCGGGTGTCAGTCACAGCAGAGCAGCCTTAGAACTGACCCAAAGGCTGGGAGTGCAGAGCTCCAGGCTGGATCCAGGCTGGGGGGGACACCCAGACAGGGCTCTGGGTGCTGGGGACGCTCCTTGTGCCAAATTGTCTCAGCCTTGGATGTCCAGGAGGCAAACGGGAGCTGTAGAGATGTGCCAGGCATGGGGTGACCCCCCCAGGCAGGTGCCAGCATCCCCCCATGGCACAGGACAGGACACAGATCCCTCCTGGGCTCCCTGCTCCTGGGAGGATGGAGCTGCCTGCAGGAACCAGCCCCACTGGCATTGTTCAGCATCCCAAAACACCCTGCACAGAGCACCGCAAAAACCCCTGCACAGAGCACCCCAAAAAAACCCTGCACAGAGCACCCCAAAAAAACCCTGCACAGCAACACCAGACCGGCAGAGAACACCCCAAAACACCCTGCACAAGACAACCCCAAAACACCCTGCACACATCACACACCCCTCAACCTCTCCCCCAGATGGAAAATATTCTGGGAAGGGAATCCCACCAGGCCATGGCAGGTGGAGCCCCAGAACAGATTTTGGGCCACACCAGCCCCAAGTCCTGTCCCTGCTGCTGGGTTTATGAGCGGGATGAAGGATGGGGAGAAGGTGCTGAACACAGAACACTGCAAAACACCCCAAAACATCCCTACTTACACCCTCAAATCCAGGCATCTCCAGAGGTGGGAGGGAACACCAGGATTAACCAATGCCCTGCTCAGACACCCCACCAGTCCCACCCTGTGACTCAGAGCGTTGTCCAAACGCTCCTGGAGCTCTGGCAGCCTCGGGAATGTCAGCATTCCCTGGGAAAGAACAAATCCACCCGCACACCCACAGGGCACCTCGAGCCCTGCAGGGGCTGCAGGAGCACGGCCCCAGCACCACCCCAACCTTCTGCTCATCTCCAAAGCACAGCTCCCCCCAAACCCCAAGGCTCTGCACCCCACAGCCCCCTCCAGACCCCCCCAAACCCTGCCCCCCCGGCAGGAGGAGGAGTAAATCACACTGAGGCGTGAAGCACCAGCAGCATTTGTTGAAACCAGGATATTGTCTCTTTAAGCACATGAAAATCAGGCCCTTGAGCAGTGTGGTTCTCACTCGGGCGCACAATTATGGGTACTTTCAGCTGTCTACCACTATTTCAAGTGCTCTCTCCAAGCGGGCTGTCAATGGCATGTTGAAAGCTATTTGTGGCTGCTATCGTTATTAGCAAAGTGGAGAGCCTGGCTGATGAGAATTAAATTCAGGGCGGGGGTGTGGAGGGGCAGGACACAGCCCCTCATTAGGGAATTACCACCAGCAATGGGGTAAAGCTTGCAGAGAGCCCCAAAACTCGGCCAGGAGCCCCCAAAACTCAGCCAAGAGCCCCCCAAATCCAACCAGGGAAGACAGAATTCCCTTCTGCCTTGGGAGTGCTGAGAGCACAGCTCACAAATTACTCGGCTTCTGAAGTATTTAGCAAATTATTACCTGGCACTCCTTGCTAACGAGCACGACAGAAAGGATATTGTGTTCCCAGAATATTCTAGAAACACACACACAAAAAGCTGCCTCTCTCCCCTGGAAGTGTTGGGGGGTTTAGGTTTGTTCCAAGCATTAGGCAGGAAAACAAGAAGTGCTTCTGTGGAGCGTTCTCAGCCATAACAAGAAATCAAAGGCAGCACAAAGGTTCTGTCCTCCGAGGTGTCCCGTTTCCCCACGCAAAATGAGTTTTCCTTTTGGAATGGTTATTGCCCTCGGCGATTATCCACGGAGATCTGCACAGAAACAATGCACGGCCGACAGGGGAAGGGAAGTTTCTTTTGGAAAAATCAATTAACCCGACCGAAGGGAAAAAAAAAAAAAAAAAGTTTTGTCGGGGTTTCAAAAGAAAACTCCTGATTGGAGTCGGGTTTAGGAAAGCTGAGCCCGGGGAAGGAGTTGAGTTCAGCAGGAAGACTGATGTAAGGAGCAATTCACTGCAGCCGACTGGGGAATCACTTCCTAAATATTTCCTTGCATATGGAGCTGTTTATGAAACTCCATTTTTTCCCTAATGAGAAACAAAACGAGAAGAAAGAGGGGGGGAGAGCATAAAAAAAAAAAACAAAAAAAAACAACAACCCAACCCCACACGCAGCCACATATGCACACACTTAATATTCAGCGTGGAAGAGATAATCTGTTATATAAGCCCACAGACAGACAATCCCCTTTTGCTTAAAGATGAAGTATCCATCAATGTTTGTCTGGAGCAGATGTAATCACAAGCAGTCAAGTCTGGAGGGCAGGACACTGCATGAATAATTCAAGCACTTCAGTCTACTTGATTGTGTGCAGATAAACACAAGTCAACCGCTAAACAGGTCAGCTGATAAACTTGTTTGTTCAGGACCAGCCACCCTCAGCCAGATGCCGGCAGGACCACGCCGCAATTAGCGGGATGCCTTGCGGGATGCCTGGCGGGGGGATGCTGTGCCGGGGATGCCTTTCAGGGGATGCTGCGGCCCCGGAGAGGGGGGAAAACCCTCCCCGGGTGCCCGCTGCGGTCCGGCGCTCCTCGCCCCATTTTCGCCTGGAAGCGCAGCCCGGGCTGCTTTGTTTGCTGCGATGCTGTCAGTTAAAGAAGGAGACAGCTCCAGCTTCCCCAAGTTCCCGGCAGATGTCACCGGGAAGAGCCCGGGCGGGCACGGGATGCTGCTGGAATGGCTCGCACAGCTCCCGGCAAAGCAGTGACCACGCCGGGCATCCCGGGCTGCCGGCACCGGGAACCACCAGGACAGGCGGGGATGAGCCAAAGCGGGAATTCTGAGGAATTCGGAGGCTCCTCGGCCAGCCCCGAGACCCCCGCGGCACACGGAGGAGGGGCTGCTCCACCCGCACCTCCCGGCGCTGCCAAACCTCGGGATGCACCCATGGACCGGGGGAAACACTCGGGAACGTCTCGGGAACGGCACCTCCCGGCGAGGGAAACAACCCAACATCCCAGGCCATCACTCCAGCATCTCCCAGCGAGGGAACCGACCCAACACCCTCGGGTGTCACTCCAGCATCCCCCAGTGACGGAACCAACCCAACATCCTGGGGTGCCATTCCAACATCTCCCAGCAAGGGAGCCAACCCAACATCCTGGGGTGCCATTCCAACATCTCCCAACAAGGGAGCCAACTCAACATCCCAGGCCACCTTTCCAGCATCCCCCAGTGACGGAACCGACCCAACATCCTGGGGTGCCATTCCAACATCTCCCAGCGAGGGAACCGACCCAACATCCTGGGGTGCCATTCCAACATCTCCCAGCGAGGGAACCGACCCAACATCCTGGGGTGTCACTCCAGCATCCCCCAGTGACGGAACCGACCCAACATCCTGGGGTGTCACTCCAGCATCCCCCAGTGACGGAACCGACCCAACATCTGGGGGTGTCACTCCAGCATCTCCCAGCACCGAGCGGAGCCATCCAACACCCAGGTAGGAGGAGGGTGGGCAGAGGAGACCCTGAGCCCCAAGAGCCTGGCCTGGGGTCACTCCATCCCTCCAGGTCACCCCGGAGCCCCCCGGTGCTGCCGAGGTGGCCGCAGGCTCCGTGTCCCTCTGGCCGCTGTCCCCTGCTGGCAGCAGGCCGGGCCTACCCCACAATCCCGAATTTTGGGGTGTTCCCGAGCACCCCAGCACAGTCCCCCCAGCCCGGGGGTCCCCGCAGCCCCCGCGCAAGGACAGCGGGGCCGGGCAGCGGCCCCGGGCTGGAGTCGGGATTATCTCCGTGGAAGGAGATATTTATAAAAAACTGAAGACTAAGCAGGAATTATTTTCGCTGCCCCGTGACTACGGCGCAGAAAGGCGAGGGGAGGAAGAGAGAGGCGCATTCAGAGACGCTGCTTTGCATCTCATCAGCGCCCTGCGAGCCTCCGAGGAGGAGGAGGGCGATGCCGCTATTAAGCCAAACCACTTTGGAGTTGAATGGGGCTGATTTGCGAGCGGCAAAGTTGATGTCAACTTCTATCTGCCCTAAGTTCTTAATTAGAACTCCTTCTAAAACCAGTAAGCAGCAGCAGCACAAATAATCAGGTCTAATCTCAATAATAACTTTATTCCTTTAAGTTTTACCATCATGTGCGCAGCCTTTAGGCTCTTTACCGATAATCTTATCAAGGTAGCACACCACATTCTGCTGGGGCCTTCTCTATTTTTTTCCTTCAGGCAAGTTACACATTAGAGAAGACTGGAAGGGAGGGGAAAAAAAAAAAAAAAAAAAGCCAACAAAACCAAAAGCCCAACCAGCCCCAAACATTGCTTCACTTCCCAGATGCAAAGACAGCTCCGTGACATTGAGCAACACACGGTGAGCTCGGGAGATAATTCCCGGCTCGGTCTCACGCTCGGGCAGGGCCGGGAGCAGGGGATGACCTTAGGAACAGCCCTGCTGTACCCACAACACGAGCAGGGCCAGCACAGCAGCCCCTATCAGTGTTTTCCAAGCCTTGGGAACGCGCTATTCCAGGTATTGACCTCCCAGCACGGGAGGCGAGGCTGTTCTCACCTCTTTGCATAAACACTCTGCCTAAAACCGACATTCCTCGTGAATATCGACAAAATAACCCCACCGAGTGCCATCAACCTGCGGCTGCCAATTTAACAGCCGGGCCACGGGATCCCACCTGGAGTCACATCCCTGCCTCCAGCACTCATTCCCTATTTAGTGCAATCAGGGCCGATTTTACCTCAGGTGGAGGAAAAGGGCAACAGGAGATCAATCAATCACAACTTCCCCCCTCGAAATTACTCACCTGTTTGTGCATTTCAATATTCAAACCGTACGACATTTCGTAGTACTGGGGAAGGAGAGAAAAAAAATAGAAATAAATTCAATTAAACACCAGAGCCAAGGAGAATTTGAATTCAGTTCACAGAAGGTATTTGCATAAGGTCATTACCAAAAAGCATCCTGGGCAAAACTGGGCTTAAAGCACGGGTAGCCAAGGAAATTACACCTTATAATAAGCAGATGTTTATGGGTTTAACTGGCAGGCACTTAACGAGGGGACACTCCTTTTGACTCCTGTTTTCTCCTCCTAAGCTACTTAGAAAAACAAAGAGGCGCAGAGCTGGGTGACAGGCGTCTGCTCAGCCCTGGCAGAACAGGTACAGCCCGGAGTCTGGCCAAAAATCCAGCTTCTCACCGGGGGGGCGGATTTGTTCCCCCCCAGGGACCAGGGGAGCGCGGGGAGCGGCCGGGAAAGGGGGTGCAGGGTCCTGCCAAACCCATCAGAAACCCCAACGAGCCCACCCGGGGGCCCGCCATGCTAATTTAGCTTGAAAAAGAGCGTTTTGTGGCAACAAAAGTGCCCGTTTCCCTCGGGAAGGATGAACGGGAGGCGGGGGGAGGAGCTGGGATGGCTCCCGGGTGGCCTCGGGGCAAGCAAGGGGGGGACCCCCACCAGCACCAGGGATCCCCCCGAGCTCGGGGTCGCCGCTCCAGCC